TCTGACATACCCCTTCAAAAGATCTACAATGTTTACTAATTTCAAATTAGAAACAAGTACTGCCAAAATAGGCCCCAAAATAGTGCAGAAAGGCTACCATGTACATCTAGGGATGGCAAATATTTTAAAACACGATCTTAAAAATCTCGATTGTTTGATTTTTAATTGTTTAAAAATGTTTTAAAATATTATGACGTAATTATTATAATAAATAAATAAATTATGCAGCCTGATTTTAAATAACTAAATTACGCAATTCAATGTTATTAATAAATAATAAAATTAATTTTATTATTAAATAAATAAAATTACACAATTCGATTTTTATTATTAAACAGTATTTCTTACGATTACTAATATATAAAAAAAAAAAAAAAAAACTTTAAATAACTATGTCTCGTGGAAGACCTTCATTAAAAGAAATTCGTTTGAACTTCACAAAAATTACGGAAAGTGACAAGCAAGGTCGAACCACACCTCGTCAAATGTGTAACCACTGTGAAGAGGACCTTGTTGATTTAATTGGCTGATTAAAAGAACATTTAACTAAATGTAAAAAGCTTCCAAAAAATATAAGAAATTTGATAAATCTTCAAGATTCTGGTTCTACAATGTCATTAAGTAAATTAGACATAGATAGTATATTAGCAAAATTCTTTTTTTCAGCAGGAATTCCTTTTACAGCAATAGAAAATCCTTTTTGCAAAGAATTTATAGAAGCTGTACAACACTATATTAAAAATGTAAACCCATTTTATATTAGCCCTAATCAATGTAATTTAGCCAATAATCTTCTGGATGCTAAGTATCAAGTCGAGCAACAAAATTTGGATATAATCCTAAATAATGCTAAAAATATTGCATTAGTGTCAGATGGGTGGTCTAATATTAGACGAGAATCTGTTTTAAATTTCATTCTTTGCCTTCCACGACCAATATTTTATGATGCAAAGTATACTAGATCTGTATCATATACTGCAGAATATATTTACAATGAGTTCAAGACTATTATTGAACATGTTGGCTCTTTCAAGTTTGCTGGAATTGTAATGGACAATGCAAGTTCAATGAGAGCAGCTTGGAGATTGGTGAATCGAGATTATCCTCAATTAATATGTTTGGGTTGTAATGCACATATCAGGAACCTTCTAATTAAAGATATACTTAAGCTTGATTGGATAGAAAAATTAATGATCTATGTAAAGCAGATTATTGGCTTTTTTCGATTACATCATCAAGCAGAGTCAATTTTAGCTAACTAACCAAATACAGTTACTTTAGTTCAACCTGTTGACACACATTAGGGAACTTGTTTAAATGCTATACAATCCGTTCTTAGATGCAAATTAGGAATACAAATAACTATAATACAGCCTGAGGTTAGCAAAAAAATTATACAAGATCTTAAAGATCAAATATTAAGTAATTCATTATGGAAAGAATTCGAAAAACTTGCTTCTTTTCTAATTCCTTTTGTTAGACTAATATGATTATTTGAATCTGATAACCTTTTGCTTTCACATGTTTATCCCGAATGGCAGCAACTTCAAGAATTAATTAATTCATATGATTTGGAATTAGATTTCAAAACAAAAGTTCTCAAATTGATTAATAAACGATTTGAATTTGCTTTTTATCCAGCAATGGCGAATGCAAATCTTTTAGATCCGAAGTATTACTATTATTTTTTTTATTTTATTTATTTACCTATTTATTTATTTACCTATTTATTTATTTATCTATTTATTTAATTACCTATTTATTTAACTCATTACTTTTATATTTAGGATTCGTGGAAAATCACTAAAACAAAATGATCTAGAAGATATTATTATTCTGTATCTTGAAAATACTTATACATTCGAAATTGTAGCATATGTAAGTATTGTAAAAGTATATTGTAAAAATATTGGGTTTTTACTGAATTGTAAATTCTAATTTTTTTTTAAGATTTATGGAGTAATTCAAAAATATATTGCCAAAGCTAATGAGTTCTCTGGACTATTACTATGGGCTTCCGTTGAGCATTCAAGTCCAATTAGCTAGTGGCAATCAAATTTTTTAAATAAATTTCTTCTTGTAGTTGAACTTGCTTGTCGGGTTCTCTTACTGCCCACCTCTTCTGCTGCTGCAGAACATTATTGATCCAATTTCGGGTTTATCCATAATAAGTATCGAGCATGCTTAGATAATGATCAGGTAAAAAAACTTGTGACTATTTACCAAAATCTGCAAATTTAAAAAGAAATCAAAGATGATAGTTGGTTTGACGATGATGATAATAATGATAATTTGGAGAGATAAATTATTTATTAAAAATACTGCTTCTAATCTTTAAGCAAATCATTTCCAAGAACTTTATGTAACAATAATATTTTCAATACATATATTGCAGGTCTTGGACTTTCAATATAAATAAATATAGTATTGAATGCATGTTGATAATATATATATATATATATATTGATATTAAATAAATTAAATCAGTCAAAATGCATTTTTATAACTTATAATTTCTTTTTACATTTAAAGAATAAATTCTAATTATAAAAGGGTACATTTTATTTGATAAAAAAATATAAATTAAATTAAATCAGTCAAAATTTATAACTCTTTCATAATTTCTTTACAAGCAATGAATAAATTCAATTATAAAAAGATAAATCTTTTGCTAAAACTGGATTAACCAATCAGAAGCAGTAGTTTCAGTTCCAGACAAATTTCAAAATCAGCACCGATATTTTAAAACATTTTTTAAAACAATAAAAAATATATAAAAAACTGTTTAAAATATTTTTTTACCATCTCTATGTACGTCTGGAGCTTCTAGAAAATTCTGGCAGGTTTTACTCTATTCAGAATATATAGATACATATAATGTATTAAATTAGAGTTAAGCATTATATAATTTTTATAATAGTTAAACTAAGGTCTAACATATGTACTGTTTTGTACTCTTTTTTCAATTTTTTTTTTCTTGTCTGTACTTTGTTTTTTCTTTTTTCTTGTTTTTTTCTTTTTCTCTCTCTTTTTTTTTTATTTTCTTTGTAAATTTATTTAGTTAGTTCCCTGCTTTATCTTTTTGTCCTTTTTGAAGAAGGAAAAATTTTAAAAAAAGTAGTTTTAACAAAGCTAGTAATAAGCTTCTTAATGAATTAGAGATATAGCTTTAGAAAGTTAGAGCTCTAATGAGAAAAGGTATTATTGCTCTGTAAAATCACATATAAGTACTTCAGTAACTGAGTGAGTCTTTATTGTATAAGAAGAGAAATTTATATAGTTTCTATATAATTTTTTTAGTAGCCTATTACTATTACCTCTTATAATAAAAGCAAGACTATGTATTAAAAAAAAAACAAATATACAAAAATACAGACAAATTTGTCTGTATTAGTTTATATATTAAGAGATAAATTTAATTTTAAGTATGTTTATTGATTTTTAAAGGTTTTAAAATACTATATATTACTACAGAGGGACCTCTTTAAATGCACCCCCTCGGGACTATAGTAAAAAATTTCAAAAATGTGTACTTAGAGAGGGTGTGCATTTATAGAGAGCAAAATATATAATGCTATTATAAGTTGGAACCAAACTAAACTGTGCATTTAAAGAGATTTTATATAGAGGATGCATTTATAGAGAGTGCATTTAGAAAGATCTCTCTGTATATTGTTTTTTAAAATTTTAATAGATTTATAATAATAACTTATTTATTTAATTATTTAATTTATTTATATATTATATATTGCATATTGCTGTATTTATTTTTAATTTTATTAATATGTAATATTTGTTAAATATATAAAAGTACTATATACAGAATAAAATATATTACATATAGACTGATTTATAGAATTACTAATATTTTTAATCACTTTTACTAAAACGTACCGATGGTTTTTTACTACCTAGGTCCCTATTTCTCAAAAACATACTAAGTAAATGGGATCGGGTACTTTAAGTAAAAATGTTCAGGACCCAAAACCTTATGAAAACTGAGATCAGGCCTTATATTAGCTCTATATTGTATTATATATAAAAAAAAATAATTCTTAATACCTGAACCCTAACCCTAAATTTTATTAAATACAATTATATATGGTGCTAAAATATTATAGGTGTGTTTTATAATAATTGTCTTTAATTTATTAGCTTGATTAGAATAATTTAGCTATCTAAATATTTATTTTGATAAGATAATTCTAAAGAACTTGGGATTATTAGAATCATTTTACTAAAATAAATATTTTAATAGCTAAATAAGCCAGTAAGTCAAGAAATATTAGCAATTCTGTAAATCAGCTTATATAATATATACACATATATAATATTATAAGTAAAATATAAAAGTATAGTTAAACCCCTCTAAATACATCTTCTCTATATGCAGCATCCTCTAAATGTATTATATAAGCCCAAGCCCATAGTGGGACTTATAGATAAATACATATTTTTTATTCTGTAAATAAACACTAACTATCTAACCCACTTATAAAAACTCCAATTGAACAGCGTTTACAACAGCTATTTTAAAATCCATCAGGACTATTTGTGGGCATAAATTAACATTGTGCAATTCCCCAAAATCTATCAACTTTTGAAACAATTCTCTATATAATTCCTTGGATTTACTAATTATTAATGAAAATACCAATAGCATAATCCTGGAATTATCTCATTCACTGACACACCCTAAAATAGAGCCATTCATATAATAAAATCACAAATTACACAATATTTATACAATATTTAATCAAAACAAAAAAAAAAAAAAAAATGACATATCATGAATAGTATATAATTGCCTGAACATGGTAGAAACGGTCTTAAATATTCTATCCATGATTCAGAATAGTGATTGAATTAGACAACGGATACTATCAGGTGTAGTAAAAATTAGAATTCTATTATGATCTACAATAGAACTATTAATCAGAAACTCTGCTCTATCCAAAGTTTTCTTTAAATGCTCAGGAATTACAAGACTCTTTAAAGACCTAGCTCTGTGGGAAGGTCAAGGTGCCAAGCCCTTTGAATAATTTGTCAATTAATTTGGATAATGGAAGATATGGATATACATATTGTGAGGTGTTAGTAATTGCTATTTGCACAATTTGTGCTAGTCTATCATTAGTTTTCTGAATCTGCTCCTTAATTCTAGCAATCATCTTTACAACAACTGATTGGCTAGTCTCTGCTACGCAATTATGGTCTAATGCATTTTTAAGATAATGTCGATTGTCAATTAATTTCATTACAGCACACCCACTACAGTTAAATATGTCCTGCTTCTCACAATACCAGTAAAATGTATCTTTATGACTTTTATCTTTATTCATTAGATGACCATAAATATTAAGTTTATCCTTGTTGCGAACTGAAGAAATGACTTCACAAATAATATTATCTATTTTACAGTATAAATAAATATATGACTATGTAAAAGAAAGAAGTTATATTTTAGTTAATTCTAGGCAAACTATGATGAGTGTCACAAAGAAAAAACCCTAAAATTTTATAAGAATTCTGGGTTTTTCTATTTGTAGCACTTTTATAAATTTATAATAATATAACCATAAATTATGAGCATAAAAATTCTCGTAATTTTACCTTATTACAGTATTAGGTGTAATACACGATAAAAATGTATACCTCTGTGCTTTTGCAAGATATTGTTTCTTTATTGAATATTTAAATTTTTATTACACATACTTAATTGCCTATTTTTATTAAATATTTGACTTTAGAACTTTTTTTTTTCACATGTTTATCTTAGAATATTTTGGATCTTTCATGTGCAAATTTGATATTGCTTTATGTAAAAAATTATTAGGACGATATCATAGCAACTTTCTTATTACAGATACTTAATTGCCATTTTGTTAAGATATTTGATTTTAAAACTCATCTTTTTTTTCACACGTTTGTTTTAGAATATTTTAGATTTAAGTTACTTAATTATTATATACATCTTGCTATTGGTATTATTTTAGCAATACATTATAAAAAAAGATCTTTATATGCAAATTTATTATTGCTTTAAGATGATATTATTGTCACATTCTTCTTACAGTTACTTAATTATTACGTACATCTTGTCGTTGGCTTTATTTAGCAATACAATATAAAAAAATTGATGAATTGCTAAACAAAGCATTTTATACAAATATTAATTTTTAGAGAACTTAACTTATTTAGACACCAACTTCTATATTAAGTAAAAAGAAAAATGAAAAGGAAAGCGAAAAAAGAAGCGAAAGGAGAAGTGAAAGGAGAAGCAAAAAAAATAAAAAAAAAAGAGAATTAAAAAGAAAAACGAGTAACAAGATTCTTACTTTGAATTATTATATAAATATAAATAAGTGTGATGAACTGGTTAAATTAAGAGAAGTTAAAATTCAAATAAGTCATTCGATTACATAATTAAAAGAAGTATAAAGGACTGACTTATTATTAAGAGATTTAATTTATAGTGCTATAGTACTATAGTGCTAGAGCACTGTAACAAATTAAATTTTTGACTAAAAAACAATTTTTTGAGCTCTAATAAAAATAATTCTTTGCTTTGCCTAACCTTAAATTTAACTTTAATTTAACTTTAATAAAAAAAATTATTTTTTGTACAAAAAAGATTGTTTTGATTTATATATTATATTAATTTTGTATTTACATATAAAACTATAATGCTATAGCACTATAATAATATTCCCATACTAGTAAATTAGGTCAAGTATTGATTGTTTCTTTCTTTTTTTTTTTGCATAAATTGTTTGATTCTTCGCTCAATACTAATTTTATTTATTTTTTTATTACATAAATCTGAGTCAGGAATAAGTCTTCGTGTAGCTATAAATTAGGTCAAGTATCAATTGCTTCTTTCTTTTTTTTGCATAAATTGCTTGATTCTTCACTCAATACTAATTTTATCTTTTTTTATTACATAAATCTGAGTCAGGAATAAGTCTTCACGTAGCTATAAATTAGATCAAGTATCAATTGCTTCTTTCTTTTTTTTTTTGTATAAATTGCTTGATTCTTTGTTCAATACTAATTTTACCTTTATTTTTATTACATAAATCCAAGTCAGAATAAGTTTTCACATAGCTATGAATTAGGTCAAGTATCAATTGCTTCTTTCTTTTTTTTGCATAAATTGCTTGATTCTTTACTCAATACTAATTTTATCTTTTTTTTATTACATAAGTCTGAGTTAGGAATAAGTCTTCATGTAGCTATAAATTAGGTCAAGTATTGATTATTTCTTTTTTTTTTTTTGCATAAATTGTTTGATTCTTCACTTAATACTAATTTTATTTTGTTTTTTTTATTACATAAATCTGAGCCAAGAATAAGTCTTTGTGTAGCTACAAATTAGGTCAAGTATTGATTGCTTCTTTTTTTTTTGCATAAATAGCTTAATTTTTCGTTCAATACTAATTTTATCTTTTTTTATTACATAAATCTGAGTCAGAAATAAGTCTTCATGTAGCTATAAATTAGATCAAGTATCGATTGTTTTTTTTTCTTTATGTAAAATAATTTGATTCTTTGTTCGTTCAATACTAATTTAATTTTTTTATTATGTCAATTCAAGCTAATTATTGGATAAGCTTGTCAGTGAAATATATTGTTAGTGAAATAAGCTCACCGATGATTCAATCTTGTTGGTAAAATGAATGTCAGTGAATTAATTGTCATTAAAATAAGCTTGTCGATTAAGTCAACTTGTCTATCAATTGAGCGTCGGTAAATTGATTGTCTGTAAAACAAGCATGTTAGTAAATTGATTGTCGGTGAAGTGTTATGTTGGTGAGTTGATTGTCAGTGAATCGAGCTACACCAAAACAATAGAGTACTTATCCCAAGGCTAGAATACAGAATGCAGCACTGTATAATCCCGAGAGACCAATATGACAGATTACAAAGCCTGCTGCTCAAAGTAATCAAAAACAAGTCAGATTTAGCAACTACAATAGCGAACGCAATCATGGCACATAGAAACATTGTAGGGCTTAGAACAATATAGCAGAATCAAATGGCACACCATATAACAGAGTTAAAAAAAGATTAAATAGCAACAACAAAATGGGCAAGACAACATAGATCAGAATGCAGCAAGCCTAAATCGATTGCAAAAGAACAAGATATATAACAGAATTAAGTACTGAAAGACTCAAAAAAATTATACCTAAACAAAATCTAGCATACAAAATTATAGTTGCAGCCAAATAAATAAACCTAAGTATAAGATCAAGAGAAAAAGAAAATAACTTAAAACTAGTAAAGTCAGGTCTGAAGATAGTAGATCTACTAGATAACAAAGAGTCAAAAAAATTTGCACAAGAAAAAAAAATGAGTATTATAGTACTTGAGCAAGTATTAGATAGAGAAGAGTTAAACTTGCTAATATGAAGCCAAATCAAAAAGTGTAAAAGAAAAAAAATAGCTGGAAAGATCCCAAACTGGTTTAAGAAAATCGAAGAAAAGGCTCTCAAAAATACAAATAAGAGAGAAGTCAAGCCAGATCTAAGAGAAAAACACCTAATCATCTATCACCCCAGATAGACCTAGCACTAATAAGTGATGACAGAAGAAGAAGGGAGTGAGTCCTTATCAGAACCAATAAATGACAGAGATAGGAAGGATAGTAGAAAAAAGAAGAAAAAAAATAGCAATAACTAAGTATTGGTCAGCTGCTCTAGATCCTCAAGAGAATTTACTTATACTTGACAGGTGCAAAGGGTGCAACATAAATATGGCAAGAGGAAATTATACAGATACCACTTGTACAAGGAGAAGCTGGAAAAGTGATATAGTAGAAATTAGCCCAAGGTTCATCTAGAAGCTGTCAAGCCAAAGGGAGAGACAAAAGCTATATGTTCTACTAAGCTGCTTCACAGGCATATTTCAACAAGCAGAGCTATTATTAGACCGAAAAAAGAGATGACAGAAGCTACAATTAAAGGAGATTATAATATACCCACTAGAAGAAGAAATAATAGACCAAGCCATCGAAAATACACAAGCTGCAGCAACATTAAAAGAAGTAGTAACAAAACTAAGAGAGAAAACAAAGATCATGTTCTACACAGACGGGTTTGCTTAATCCAGAAGAGAAACCAGTAAAGAAAAAAATAGGTCTTGGCTGGGTTGCAGTATCAGAAGAAAGAAACAAAGCAAGCAAGCAAATTATAGCCAGCTACTATGGGGCAATAAAGATTGACTATCCTCGACTAGAACCAAACTAGGTGCAATATAGACAGCCCTCCTAGCAGCTCTCTGCAAGGCAAAGATTGACATATACACTGATAGTGCTGCAGCAATTCAGGCAATACAGGCAAGCCAAAAGAAGAAAAAAGCATCTAAAATATTGAAAAAGAAAAATCTCTGTCTGCTAGAGCAAATACAACAGACTATTAATCTAAAAGAGTTTAAGATCTGGTTTAGAAAAGTAAAGGCACATAGCAGAGTGAAAGAAAATGAAGAGGCAGACAGACTGGCAAAGAAAGGTGTTCACAGTTCAGTATTAGTCAACCCAAGATGGCCATGAAACAAGCAAGCAATAATAGAGCTAAAGTGGAAAGATATAAGAGTTGATAATGCAACATGAAGTTTCATTACACAACTAACAGAAATCAGTATAGATATGAAGTAGAAGGAACTCAAAAGTATAAACAAGTGGGTTAATGTGAAATGAGAAGCAAACACAGTAGTGTGGAGTGAAGTTTGGAAAGATATAAGGCGAGTAAAAGGAAGGAGGTGCAGAAGTTCAACTCAAAACAAAGAGTGGATATTCAAAATAAAGTGTCTAAACAGTCTGCTCCCAACGATACAAGTTCTCAATACAAGAAAAACAGAGTTGTACACAAACAACACATGCAAGATATGTGAACAAGAAGCAGAGACACAAGACTACCTCGCAGCATACCCAGATCTACAAAGACTTTGGTATATTGTGGAAAAAGAAGGAAGTGAACTCTTCTTAAAAAAAGTGATAAAGGAAAAAGAAAAGCTAAAAACTACAAATATTCAGAAAATACAAGAGCTAATCTTTGGCAAAAGTATACAAGAAAAAATTGCAACAAGAGAAGAGCTA